GCCTGTGTCTGTCTGTCTCTGTCTGCCTGTCTGTCTCTTTGCTTGTCTTTCTGTAATAAGGTTTATGGCGGTTTGTGCCTTTGCTGTGACTTCAGACGCCCATCTAAAAATACCCCCTCTGCCAGGTGCCCCATGTTCTATCTGATTTGTCACTGTGAGAGGACTTTGAGAGATCATCGCCCTAATTTGGGTGGTGTTTTGAGCCCTTTGTAATTAACTAATCACTACTTATACCTACTAGAAATCACATTTGCTTCATGAAGAACCCTGTAATCAAATGTAATACTAAAAATCATTATTTTTTTATTCGTATAGATCTTGTAAAATCATCAGCGCAGTTTGAATTTCAGCAGCAGGGAGCATTAAGTTAACTAACCAGAACCATTCTGCAGTTGCCTGGATTTTAAATGCTAAAACCTGCTTTTCTTCTGGTTGTGGTAAATACAGCACAATTATTATACCTCTTAATATATCTGTAATAATGTATCCAGCTCTATCCATTTTATTTTTAAGAGGCTTCTGGGAAAACATGAAATTGTTATGAACATGGTTATTTTGTTGTATATACAGAGAAGTATAGGAGTATTAGCATTCACTGAAGAGATTTCACTGTGGTGGGTGTGTATTAAAGCTCATAGTTAAACGCTGATTCCAAAAGGGTGAGTGACTGTTAGCTCTCAGATCAGTATTATGTATCACTCAGCTCAGTCCTTCATGTACCAATACCTCTTAACCTCATAATGTAGTAATTCGTAGTAGCCTGATTGCAGTGAAAATTCCACTGGTCATTCTCAGATCCTATTAAAGTATATATTCTTTGTCTCCCTATTCTAGAACTTCCTTAGCATGTAACGGTAGTCATGTGACACTGTTGTTATGCGTAACAGTAGTCATGTGACATGGTTGTTTTGTTTGTTTGTTTGTTTAAATGGTTGTCACGGCGCTGTTTTTTGATCACTACTTACGCCAGTGCTGGCCATGAAACTGTAGCCTTTGATGAGATTATCCATTAAATCAGCCACAACCTGCAGTGTTACAGTTTATCTGCCAGGAGCTGAGCCTGCACAAGGTGCTAGCTAGCATGCTCTAGGGGAACGACTGAAACTAACGGTTTAAATTAGGTCCGCTGGCAGTGAAGCATTTGTCAAGGTCTGGACAAGAGGAATAGCTTTATCCCCAGCTGGTCTGAAGAAGCAAGGTGGGGGGGGGGCTTCTTTGTTCTGGACACCAGAAGAAAATGACGACAATCGAAGCTTAAGTTGCGGTTTATTTTTCACGCTATTTAGGAAATGCTGAAATGTGCTGTATGGTAGGTAAGGCAATGACATGTCATCTGACATGTCAAGATTTTCAATTTGAGACTAGTCTGTCCAAACATTCACGTGTGTGTAACAGTTTTATTACCTTGCAAAAAATCTGTAGGGTTTGCAAACTACCCGTACTCTTTTGAGGTAGCTGATTTTATGCTTGTAATGGAATAATATAGATTTGCTGTAAGATTTCTTGCATGAGTGTGAGAGTCTGAAAGCGTGAGTGTCTCAGCAGATGCATGAGAGCTGGCAGCCCTGGTCAGGCCACACACAGCTGACAGGTGGGTGATTTTCCTGTCCTCCTCAGCCCTTGATATTTGAGGAAACCTCACCAAATGTGACCCATTAATCAATACGGCCACTCTCTGTCAGGCTCCCTGGACACTCCATATCTCAGCCGTTAATCTCAATGAGTGCTCTGCAAAGTATATCTGCTGGTAATACCCCAATTATGCCAGTGGAGATTTCGCCGTATGTGTTTCCGAAGCTTTGAGTCTCTGTTTATTGTTTATCTGTGGACAAATACACTTTCACTCCACCTATTGATATGCTTGTGAAGAGCTATAGTGAACACTACAACATCAGTCTGCAGGGTGGAGTTTTAAAACAATGGGGATACAGCGATATAACTTCACATCTCCTCTACTTCCCATGCCTTTGATGGATCTTCCTGGGGGCTGGGTGTCCCTGTAAGGGACAGAGGGGGGGGGGGGGGTCCAATCTGCAGTCTGGGTTACAAGGCAGAAACATCTGTCACACAAAAGGATTTGTTTGATTGGTTAGGGCCATAGATCAGGCCTGCCTGTCATTGGACAGTAAATGAATGTTCCCCAGTTACATCTTCTATCAGCGATTACGTTATCTGGGCTCCCGGACTGTCAGTTGCAAAAGCAATATCTTATTCGCCTAAACCCTTATTCCGCCGAGACCTCAGCTACAGACTGGGGGCTGGAATGGTTTGAATCCTTTCAGTACATGCTCTCTGCTCCACCAGGCATTCCTGCTTTGGTCTCTTGCTGCATTCCTCCTGTTCCATGTTGGAGAGGTTCATCTTCTCACCTGCATTGAGAAAGCAGTGATCCAGCAGGGTTTGAGGTGATTGGGCGCTGATGTCTGAGCATATGGTATAATAAGGTGAACATTACAGTGGGAAATTAAAGGCAGGTTTGTTAGGAACGAGGCCTTGAAAGCCACAGTATTTGGAATTACTGTGCATCTGCTAGATGAGCCCAACATGAAGCTGTAATATATCTAAAGGGAAGTGGGATAAATGAGGGACAGTGTGTGAGTCCAGCCCACCTTGACCTTCAAAGCATCCTTTCTCACAGCAGTAAAACCTGGAGTATCTGAGGTACTGGGTTTTTTAATATATTGTGACTCTGTATGAGTTAGTTTTCCTTTGTGGATGTGCTGATGGCTGGTAATCTGCTTTAAAAAAATAGTGTAGATTACAGGAAATCTAGCAGGATGGGAAAACTATAATAAACATAAATAAAGTGTGTGGAATTATGATCATCCTTGTTTAGTTAAAACTAAGGATTTGGCAACTTGGATCATTTGTCAAGTAGCGAAAAATCATGAATCTGAAAACTGGAAACATTTCATTAATAAATGTGGCCGCTCACAGCTGGAAGGGAGACAATTAGGGTGTGTAAAGGCGAAATCGCCTCAATTTGTCATGTGACCTTGGTGGTTATTTTGAGCACCTCTAATAGAGGAAGATGTCTAGCAGATTAGTCCAACTGACTGGTCCTAACAGGAAGACCAACGTTACGATTTTGTCTGGAGTTAGCCGACCGATGGAAATTTAATGCAACAACGCAATTCCCAACATGTGTATAAATGTCTTGAGGTGATACCCTATCTGTGCTCCTCAGATTAGCATTAACAGAAGTATCTCCTAATTACAGACCATGTCCACCATGTCAGTGATTTCAATTATTCTAATGTGTGTGAAATCATTAATCCCCTAAAACGGCACTTAGCACCATGAAAGAGAACAGAACATTTCCGTTGATCCCAAGTGGCTTGCGGGAGGAACAGAGAGGATATCGATCTTTATAAGGCTCTGTTTTGTTGTTAAATGTTAACATCTAAAACTCTAATGAAAGGGACTAAATCTGCTCAATTTGTGCTGAATAATTCGGCACTGGAGTGAAGCCACTGGCCATGTCTATCTGATGTGAATGTTTTGGGGCATTTGGTGAAGGGCGCTGCTCCTGCTGATGTTTCTCTAGGCTGGCGTGGTTCTCGCCTCTTTTCTCTGTGCATTGAAATAAATCAAACCCCATTACTGACTGTCAGAGGCTCCTGCATCCACTGGCTCCCTCACCACCTTCCACCAAGGGACTTTTACCAGAGTCATGGAGAAATTCAGCAATAGATGCTTCTTTCACAGCTTGGGGGGGGGGGCAGCATAACTAGCTGCAGAGATGGCAGTGTCTGTATTTCCTAATATGTCTTTATTTAATTTAGAAATGAAGGGGTAAGTTAGGGTGGTCATTCAGCAACGCCAGCCTGACATCATGGCTCTCCTGTGGGGGGGGGGGGGCTGTTTCACTCTGTTTTCGGGCACCCCTCAGCAGGCGGTAGAGAGAGGAGACCAGGACCTCCGAGGGGACCATTGATGGACCCCGTAGGGCAGGAATTCAGAGGAGCGTTTTCATGTGTGTGTGTGTGTTTAAAGGGCGATATTGATGCTCTCGTTGAGACGACTGGTGGAGCCGCACTGAGCTCCGATCCAATCCGCCTGTCCTCCAAATTACATGGAGGGATAAAAGCAGCATGCCTCTCCTCCCCTCTGTCCCTCATTCCCCCTACACCTCCCGGCATCACAGCCCTCAGCACCACCTCCTTAGACACCGTCACCTCCTCCCTAATCGAGGGCTGGATTCGCTTGCCCTGAGAAATTGGGGTGGGTGGCGGCTTTTTTCTGAGCTACTCCCCTCAGCCAGAAGAGACGTGGATTGAGCCCCAGAGACCATCAGAGCAATTCGGCAGAATGTAATGACTGGTGAAGCTATGAAAATGTTTAAATAATGACATTGTGCCAGGAGGACTCACTAAAGCCTACGGTGCACCAAGGACAAAACTCCACGAAGGTCGCATCTTTCTCTTGAGAAAGTAGTAGTTTTATATTTCTCTTTGCCCCAAATGTCTATAAAAGAGAACACGGGTCAGAGCAGGGATTGGCCAGATGAGAGTTGGCCAGAGACGGACTGTCTTAAAACCGATTACTGCTGAGGAAGGTGAGGACTTAGAAGTCTACTGGACAAGATGTCATCCATCGCGTTTTTCAGCCTGTCCTTCGGCGTCCCCTGTGCCTCTCTATGCTGTAGATTTACTGAAGGGGGCGCTGGTGAGCAACTGAAGTTAGGGAAGCATTTCCATTCGTAATGATCTGTGCTCCTTTGCTGCACTGTGGAGTGCAAAAAACTGCAGGTTAGGACAGCTGTCAAGTGTCATAATGATAAAGATAATTCTAACTTAATGAGCACATTTATAATAGCATTCATAATCCCAGCATGGTGATCAAGGTGTTTATATTCAGTCTAACATTGTCTGTCCTTTAATTCAACACCACTTCCTTTTGTTTAATAATCAGCATCCGTGTCACGGTGTTGTCATATTTTAACTTAGAGAATAGTCTGTTTTAATGTGCCGCCTCTCTGCTTTCCTTGTTTTTTCCAGGAAAACCCTTACATGTGTAATAATGAGTGTGACGCCAGCACAAAGGAGCTGGCGCACCCCCCAGAACTGATGTTTGACTTTGAAGGTCGCAACCCCACCACGTTCTGGCAGTCGACCTCTTGGAGAAAATACCCGAAGCCACTGCTGGTCAACATCACCCTCTCCTGGAACAAAACCATTGAGCTGACGGACGACATCGTCATAACGTTCGAGTCTGGCCGCCCGGAGCAAATGGTCCTGGAGAAGTCCCTCGATTACGGCCGAACTTGGCTGCCCTACCAGTTCTATGCCACAGACTGCTTGGACGCCTTCACCATGGAGCCCAGGACGGCGCAGGATCTGACCCAGCACACCCTTCTGGACGTTATCTGCACAGAGGAATACTCCAGGGGATACGTGTGGAAGTATGACAAGACGGTGCGCTTTGAGATCAAAGACAGACTCGCCCTGTTCGCCGGACCTCGTCTGCACAATATGGCATCCCTGTATGGACAGCTTGACACGACAAAAAACCTGAGGGACTTCTTTACCATCACTGACCTCCGAATCAAACTGCTGCGACCTGCCACAGGCGCTACCATGGTGGATGAGAACAACCTGTCCCGATACTTCTATGCTATTTCTGACATCAAAGTTCAGGGAAGGTAAGATCTTATCAGGGAATTTCTCCTTTGTCATCCTGGGAAAGTGCTTTTTCAGAACCTCAGTGTTTTGACAGGAATTATAGAATAATACCTCCATAATGCATTATAATGATCAGTATAAAGGATTATGATGTTGATTATAATACAATGAAGCTCTCATCTATAATGCACTATACAGTAGATACCTTGTATACATTATAATGGTCAGTATAAGAATTAAGGATGCTTTTTGCTGCATTATGAGGGTATTTATAGTGCATTATAGAGGAGAGCTCCATAATAAATGGCTATAATGTTTTATGGCTTATTCTAAGTATCTATATGCATGTTGATAATGCTTTATCAATGCATTATAATGTGGTATGCATGTGTTCATAGATTGTTATAGACGTGGTATTCATAGAAAGAGTTACTATAATTCCATATGCATGTAATGTGTCACTCGATTGCCTAGATAATGTCACCTAAATACACTAGAGCCACTTTCCAGTTCGTGAATTCAGTTTTTTTTTTTATTGTGATTCCTAGATAGATAGAAAATGGTCAAAGCCAATTTACCACAGACACAGTCATATTGTCAGTAATAGTTTCAACTGGTAATGCCAACATAAATATTTTGATTTATAACTTGAAGAGTGACACAATTGTAAGTTACTTGTAGGTTCATCTTGTACTTTTACTGGTTTGATCCCTTGATTGAAAGACTCATCCAGTTCTTTCACATTAACATTAGTAAATATTAGCACGATTATAGAAGTCTAACCAACCAGCACACAGCAGGAAGTCCGTGCTCAAGTGAAATCCAGGTCCTTTTAAAAGAAATGGTTGAAATGGTAGTTTACAAACCCCATCATAGCTCATAGTGCCCCTCCTGACATGGATTAGGTGGTCACTCTACATCTTACTTGCACTACACAAGGCCAGTAGGATCAAGTGATACCATCAATGATCTGCCGATTGCTACTGTAAGTAGAATCCTTACACTTATAATGTCTTTTAACAAAAAAATGCTGTATTGTACTCATTTTTCAATGTATTTGCTGAACATAATCTTCTGTTGCATCAAATGCACTGTACCATGGAGTCCTCCTAATTAACCTCTGATGTATGAGCTCTCAGACTGCTGGCAAAATAGATGTTTTAGCCTGTGAGTGTGAAGATGCAGTTTCTTTAGCGGAGATAATTATGTTTTATGTTTTCACATGCCGCTCACTTAATAGGCCTTAAGAGAAACTATAAAATGAGCAATAATTTGCTGGCTTTTATTGTAGTTGTCAGATGTTCCGACCACAATAACCCAAATTACAGTTTATATTATAAAACTGGACCTTGTTCTGGTTTTATGCAGAAGTAGATGGTGCGTCTAATGGCAGAGATACCACTGTTCCGCAGCAATAACATGGAAATATGAGGGGAACCACCAATGTAAACTTCTTTGTAATCAAACAGAAATACATCTATGATCAAAAAGATTTGAACAGTTCTGTGTTCATTTCATGGGCATAAATACCAATAAACCACACACACCTAAAACAATTCCATTAGATTTTGGCATTGTCAGCGTGAAAGGTCAACAATAATCTACATAATTGGATTTTATTAATATTGAAAGACCAAACCTAACTGGAAATGACAGACCATCGATAATATAAATTAAGGCCAATGGAGAAGCTGTAGTATGAAGACTGTACAAGGCCGGGTCCTGTAGCATACAGATTTAGCATGAGTACTAGGAGGTCTACAGCTGTAGCATACAGATTTAGCATGAGTCCTAGGAGGTTTACAGCTGCAACATACAGATTTAGCACGAGTCCTAGGAGGTCTACAGCTGTAGCATACAGATTTAGCATGAGTCCTAGGAGGTCTACAGCTGTAGCATACAGATTTAGCATAGAGAGCTAGGACGTCTATAGCTGTTGCTTACAGATTTAGCACGAGTGCTAGGAGGTTTACAGCCATAGCATACAGATTTAGCGTAAGTGCTAGGAGGTCTACAACTGCAACATTCAGATTTAGCATGAGTGCTAGGAGGTCTACAGCTGTAGCATGCAGATTTAGCATGAGTGCGAGGTCTACAACTGCAACATTCAGATTTAGCATGAGTGCTAGGAGGTCTACAACTGTAGCATACAGATTTAGCATGAGTGCTAGGAGGTCTACAGCTGTAACATACAGTTTTAGCATAGTGTGATATGAACAAATTGTAAAAGAATATTTGGGTCTAATAATTCTCTGCAACATGAAAGATAAGATAAAGGGAATATATAATAAGTGTTCTGTCCTTTGTTTGGCCTTGGTGCATGATTGTGTGATTAAAGAATTATTTTATACGGTTCTGTCAGTGGGACACAGTGGTGTTAATGTTTATCCGTTTATTTAAAGACGGTTTAATAACTGCTTGTTATTCACTGGTTGGACATTTTCACAGTAGTTAGGAGTTTCCAGACACTTCTGTTTGATAAAGTCGCCTTTCGGTCCCCCATATGATCGTGCTAAGGAATGAAGCAGCTGTAGCTGTTTCTATCGTTAATCCTATTTTACTCGTCCGGGGGCCTTTCTGACTGTTCATGGACCAAGTTTATGCAGCTGTTTTAGAGGTTTCTGTTGCGTTGAATCTGTGCATCTGGTCCACGTTTTTCGAGGAGGATCAAACCCCACTGGGTGGCAAGGTGGTGCACTGGTTAGCACTGTTGCCTCACACCACTGGGACCTGGGTTTGAGTCTCAGCCTGGGTTATATGTGTGTGGAATTTGCATGTTCTCCCCATAGTGGGGTTTCCGCTAGGTACTCCAGTTCCCCCCCCCACAGTCCAAAGACATGCTGAGGCTAATTGGAGTTTCTAAACTGTGAGTGAATGGTGTGTGATGGGCTGGTCCCCTGTCCTGGGTTGTCCCCTGCCTCATGCCCGTAGCTTCTGGGATAGACTCCGGACCCCCCACAACCTGGAAGGATAAGCACTTTGGAAAATGGATGAATGGATCAAACTCCACAAAGTGAATGCACGGAAAAGGCTGGCTTTAGATGACAGTGTCATGAAAATTATGCTTATGGTGATAGTAGCACATATCTTAACGAATTGGAATAAAAGCAGAAGAAGGAGCAAGGTCTTCAAACTGATTTGTCCCTAAAAATCTATATGTTTGCGGGGATGCAAAAAAGAGCAGCATTAGCTTTCCACATGCTGCGTGTGGACGCGCGCGGTGACTCCACGCTTTAATTAATGAATTTATTTTCCTCTTGCGATCCGATCGATTGAGAATAATTGGAGGGAGGGGGGCTCACGATCGCAGACGCACGTTCCCTCAGACACCACCGACAGCGCAGACGTGCGCGGCACCCCTCCGCCAGGCGCTCACTCGCTCTCCACACCATCATTTCGTGCTTCGGAGCGCAGCCTCTCTGCTTCATTACTTTTTATCGCTGCGAAAACCCGAGTCTAATTTAATTTACAGCCACCGGAGAGTAATAACATAAAATCAATGCCAAGAAGATTATATTTCACCGTTAAAATTGCTTAAGACAGAATCGAGCTTCGGCTTTGTGTAATGGAAAAGAAAATATTTATTAAAGTTCAAAAACTGAGATAATAACGAGGTTAAAGATTTACATCGTATGTATACGTAAAGCTGTCACTAAAATGCCTAGGCTTTTCCCCATAGATACTGAGGGTGGTTCACAGAATTCTATTTTTGGGATTTTATGATTTGATGGGATTTACCTGAGCAGCATGCTGAACACTGGAATACAGCAGCACATGCTGATGGTGGTGTTGGTGCCCCAGAATTACAGAGTAGCCCCTCCCCATGGCACAGCAAAATGGCTCAAAAAACCCCTAAACACATTAGCATGAGCGTCAGATCCAGATGCATCAATTCATTAAAGCCGTTAATGGCAAAGTGATAAGATCAGAATGATAAAATGATTAAAATATGTTTTTATAACTTCTTAGCCGTTCTGACAGTAGTTTCTTTTTATTTTATTTTTCAGCGGATTTTCCTCCCTAGAATATGAACTTAAATAATTCAGGCCTGGCTTATTGCACTGAGCTGAGGATAAGAAATAACAAATTAAGCACCATTTCTGTTTTTGGAGATGGAGCCCAGTTAATAGTCTGACTGATCTTAGACTATGGAGTCCAGTTAATAGTCTGACTGAAGTTAGAATTGTAGAGTATCCTACCACATCTATACTTGGTAAGTATTCTTTCAATATGCTTTCATTGACCAACCAGTTATTACAAAGAGTATGGAGAATGTGAGTAGTGTGGCCATCTCTCCATCTAGATTGCTTAGATTTAAGATTTGGAGATCAGCGTCGACACACTACAGTGCCAATGATTCTAACGGGTCTGGATGCTGTTCAGCCAAATGACTATTTCAATATTAGTCTAAATACTAGAACTCGTGGCCATAAGTGGAAATTAGCGGGAGAACATTTTAAAACAAATTTGAGGAAGCACTTCTTTACACAGCGTGTAGTCAGAGTATGGAATAGTCTTCCTGCTATTGTAGTGGAAGCTAAAACCATGGGTTCCTTTAAATCAGAGCTAGATAAGATTTTAACAACTCTGAGCTATTAGCTAAGTTCTCCCCAAACGAGCTTGATGGGCCGAATGGCCTCCTCTCGTTTGTAAATTTCTTATGTTCTTATGTTTCCTCTGCATTAAACCCATACAGGTATATGACATAGTAGGAGGCAGCTAATTGGGTCTGGGGAGCAGTGCTTTGGGGTGGTACATTGCTGGTCAAGGATTCAAACCAGCAATCTTGCAACTACAAGTGCACGTCCCTAACCATTAGGCCACTACTGTCCTGTTAAAACTATGTCCCCCATTAGGAACTTGGAGCTCTTGATTTGTGGTGTCTATTTCCTATTAACTGACGGTGATATGATTAATTGTTGGATCCCAGTCCTGACCGCTCTGTCAGAATGACCTGAATAGTCTCTTCCGTTACGGTGGCCTTTTGTTTTTTTGCAGTTGTACTGGGAGTGGATAATCC